AAATACATGAAGTCTAACCCTAACTCTAGGCTGAGGCTTGCGCCATGGGACCTGCTGAGCCTCTGGCTAAAGTGCGTGCCGGAGGCTTCTGGTAAGCAGCCCCCACTTTGCTTGTGCAGCCCCGTCTGAGCCCTGCTCTTCACGTGCTTCAGCTGCCTCTTCCTTAACATGGTCCTGACCCTGCCCTTAGGCTGAAACGAATGCCAGGGGCACCCTGCTCCCCCAGGCCAAGCACTGCACTGGAGATAATCCTAGTAGCAGCGCTGGCACTCTGTGCCTCAGCCTTACTTTACAGTCCTGGCTGTCTCTCTCTCTCTGAACCCCAACCCCAGCAATGGCTCCGATGCTTTTACCTAGTGGCGCTGTCTGCAGTGTGCTGCCTCTTCTGCGCGCTGGATGCCAGGCTTGGTGCTGCCGTGGGTGGGTGTTGCAGCTGCCTGTCCTTAGTGCAAGAAGAAAATAGGTGAGAAGGACTTTATGGAGGTGACCCTTGGAAAAGCTCTGATGACGGATGTGTCCTGCTGTCCCCAATGGAGGAACTGACCCTGCTTGCAATTGCCCCACACCAGAGCACCTGTCCTGCTACAGCAAAATGTCTTGCCTGTTTGCTCTCCTTTGAGACAGCTGGGGTTTGTGGTTAGGGATTGTGTTTGTCTGGCTTGGCTTAATTTCTGCTTAGTGAGGGACAGCAGATGAGAGCTGTTTATTACTTTCCTTCCCGCTGCTGTAAAGAGAGTCCTCTGCATGTTACCCCAAGGGAATCTCTATTATGGTCTTCTGAAGAAAGCCAAATTTGGAAAGTCAGTGAGAGCTGCAGATTTAGAGATAACTCAGTGACCTAATAATATCGCTAAGGGGCAGAGAGAGCACACACAGGCATTAGCAACGCAAAAAGTGACAAAGCACTCGGGGGGCTTCTGGTGAAAGCATCCGTCTGCGCAGGCACACAGCAAAAGACTCCAGTATGTAGGATCTGAGCAATGGTCCAGTCCAGGGTTGAGACCTGGGCAGGGGGGCTTACAGCTGGGGACTTTGTTTGAGCTGTTGCCTCTGACTGTCTGGTCGCATGTCAAAGTTGTTCCTTTAGTGTCCTCTGTCTCACTCTCCTTCAGCTGCAGGCAGGACCTGCTTGATCACGTTGGGATGTAGAGGGAGCATTTCCTCAGACTGTGAAGGCTTTGATGTCTGCGGTAGAGCCCTGAGCAGTCCATGCCTCGCTTGCTTGCAGGGGTTGCTGGAACCAAGCAGAGTGTTGTTTTACCTCTCCAGAGGCAAATGTGCTACCTGAAGCATAATGTGTACCTAAGCTTGAAATTCCCAAGGAGGGGTTTCTGACTGACCTGCTGTCCAGTCTAGCGGTGTCTTCTAGCACAGTTTCAGCAGGTGTTCCTGGGCTGAGCACCTCCCTGCAGATCCTGGGGTTATCTGCGTGGAGAGAAGCTCTCTGGTCACTTGTAGAGATCTCCAGACTAAAGGAATAGGTTGTTCTCTTGCAACTTAATTCAGATAAAGGTGCACAAATCAAACTCTTGGCTTCACAAACCAAAAAACTTCAGGGGAGCAAGAACAGAGTTCTGCTCAAAGGTCTGAGACCCATGGGCAGCTGCTTGTCTGGGGAAGTGGCTTTTTCCAATTCTCTGTGACCTTGTTTGTTCTTGATGAGAGTCCATGTGCTTCAGGGAGCTACACAGGCAGGTTGAATAAGGCCCATGCAGATGTTAGCTGGCTTTCTAAATATTTTCCATCATCATATCCAACTCTTGAATCACAGCTGGTCGCTAAACCTGGGGGAGATTGCCTCAAAAATTGACTGGGAGGAATAATCTTCTCTAAGAAGTGGAGGAACTGGCTGATCAGTAAGCTGCAAAGTATCTATTCCCCACCCCGGTGACATGCCTGCATGCAGGCGGAATGAGCCTGGTGCTGTAGGAAGAAATGTCAGTGGTTTTGTGGCTTACTGGCTTTTGAGGCCACTTTGGATGCAGCAGGGGGAGTGCTGGGTTTTGGAGAAAGGAGTAAATGCATGTGGAAGAAACGCCAACTTTTCTCCTCACTGCTCTCACTGGGAAGAGTTTCTCTGTGGTTACTGTGTTTTGTGGTTATTCTGGTTTTGAATCAGCATCACTGAACTGGAATATTATCAAGTTTGAGGGGAACAGAAGAGATTTTTAATTGAGCTCGTAGTGTCTCATGAGTAGACCAAGACGTGTTCATGTCTTTGTGGAGCGCTGGCCTCAGCAGAGAGAGTTGTGGTGTATTTTGCATTGTGAGCTACCTCTTGGCAGCCTTAAACTGGCTGTTGCATCTATTTCAGGAGCACTTGTTAGATGTCAGCAAACTGCTAAGCAAATGCCACTTGTTCATTGATATCTGACCCCAAATGCTCCAAGTTTGGGTGGCTGGGCTTTCTGCCAGCCGCTCGTGAAGGCTGTTACACCTGCTGCACTGGTGATACAGGGTTGTACTGAGTGACCCCATTTCCTCTTCCAGGCTGTGAAACACGTGATCTTCTGGGGGACAGAGTGATCTCTAAAGGCAAATATCTAAGCCTCTCTTTGCTTTCATAAGTGGAAGCAATTTCGTCTTCTTCGTCTGTCCACTGAAGAGCCTGCCAGCCTGCCCAAAACAGGGCAAACGCCGTTATCTCCCAAGTGCTCACAATGAGGGATAAGTTGAATGAAGAGGGTTGGCAGGGAGGGAGTGAAAGGGCCTTGACAGGTTCTGCAGTGCATGAAGTAAAAATCCATCAGGGAACCATGTGCTTCCCACTGCTTTTCACATCCTTACTTCAGCAAAACAATTACCAGGTATTTAACCAGAGCCATAGGAATGCAGGATGCTCATGGTGGCCTCTGCTAAGGACCTTGCTGCCTGGAGCATGCTAAGATCATTGCCCCATGCTTTGTGGTCAGAGCCCAGGGCAAAATAATGGACGGAGGAGTGAGCAAGGGGTTGTCCAGTTGGGTAGGGAGGGAGCAAGTGGGTTTCTGTTTGAGTAATGGAAAAGGACACCGCTCAGCACCCCCAGGTTTGTGCACCTCCGCGGCTGGGCTTTGCGGCTGGCTCTGCTGGGGCTCGCTGCTGCCCGCCTGGCTCTGCACGGAGCCCCGGCAGACAGTGCTTGCCAGCATCTTCAGTTGAGCTGCTGCAGGTGGCCTGGGAGCAGGCAGGCAGCTCTGCCCTGAGCTTTCTCTTTCTGTGCAAGGAAATGCTCGCTTGGGCTGTGTCATCCGCTTGGCTTTTATGGAGACAACTTCATCCCCATTTGGGGCTGCCAGGTCTGCTCCCTGCATATATGTCTGTGTGGGGCCGTGGGGTATTTCCCAGCTCCTGGGCTGGATGTGCCCCGTCCCCTGCACCCCGGGGGAAGAGGCTGCGCTCCTGCAGCTTCCTCCGCTTGTCAGTGAGATCAGGAGCCTGCAGGGAACAGCCCGGTGCGCAGTGACAATTTGTTCCCAGCCAAGTTGCAGCCCATCAGAGTTTATCCAAGAGGCAGTGGCAGCTTCCTAGGCCAGGACCTCATGATTTGCATTTGCATGTATTTATTGACAGCCAGCTCTCCACGGGGAGGTTTCTGCGGCAGAGCAACCAAGTGCATGTGAAGGAATAAACACTGATCTCACAGCTGCTCCCTGGAACCAGCCTGTCTCAAAGCCACGTTTTATCTCCAACTCCAGGAGCTGCCAACTGGCAGCAAGGCCTCACGAGTCATTAGCGCAGAGTTGCCTCACACCTGGCCCTTGCTATACTTGCTGCTATCATGCTGCGTCTTCCACTCTTCTTGGCTAGCACGACAGTCTTTACAACACTTTTGTTCGCAAATGAACAACATTAAGGTCATGAGGTCCCACTCCAGTGGCAAAGCATCCAGTGACCATAGTGGGAACAGGACTTGGTCCAGCAGTTGCAATGATAGATTGCTGTACTCATCATCATGTGTCTACAGGCAGCTTTCCTCCTCAGGGGACTGCGCCTATTTGGGGTCTTTGGAGATACTGATACCTTCCAGTGCCCTCACGCTCTTGGTCCAAAGGGGATGTCACTGATTTTCCTCTTGTAGCATCTTCTGAGATTGACAAGGAGCCCAAAAGATGCATTTGTTTCATGTGAATTTAGTATCATGTGGTTTAGTATCTGACACTTTCTTATATGTTTTGAGACCCTCAGAGAGAATCAGCAGACAAAGGCAAAGTTGCCATCATTAATTTAGGAGGGAGAAGGTTTATATATATTTTTAATGCATCTGATTTCTTTAACTTCTTTCAGAAAACTTTCCCACGGGGACAGATAAGAGGACTTGACCGATCAGTGGAAGTCTGCTCAGTGTGTGTGTACCAGGACGTTGCAACGTCGAGATCCTAGTCTGGTTCAGGGCCCCAGCCCACCGCGGCCCTTCATTTTTCCAAGAGAAATGACCCGCTCCCACCGATGTGGATGGCACCTGCTCGTCCTCTCCCGCGCGGCTCAGGCGCTGCGGGAGGACTCTTGGGCAACGCTTTTGCAGCGACGGGGCTGCTGGCTGCGTTTGTGAATAACCCAGAAATTCAGACTCTGCAGTGCTTCACAGTCATCTCCAAGAGAACTGTTTATTGTGTTTACATACAGCACGGGCGATGTGGAAAACACTCGAAATATTGCATCACTGGTTTGGTTTCTGGACAACATTGGAAATGGCGATGCAACTGCTCACATCATGTCTGTATTATGAGGTATGCAATAGGCCAATGAGGAGCTGGTCCAAAGCTTCGCGCTTTAGTTTGGGAAGTGCCCACCACTGGCACGTTCGCTGCTGGCTCCTCTAGTTCCACAGTTATGGACTTGGCTGTCAGCTTGTCCTCAATTTCACGTGGAGCTTGTCATTGTAGTACAAAAGCACAGTTTTTGAAACCAATCCCGTTAAGCCACAAGAGTGTTCCCTCCCCTCTCCTCCCGTCCCCTCCCCTCCCATCCCCCATGCTCCCACCAACACATACCTCCTTCCCCTCCCTCCCACCCCGGTCACACAGCAAATTTCCTGATACTGCAATTCCAAGCCATGTGTCCGCCCCAGCCTATGCAGTCCAATGGTCTCTGACCAAGTCCCTTTGTTCGGAGGTTAATACAAAACACACAATAGGAAAAAACAAAACAAAAGGAGCCAGACACAAGAGGGAGACACACTGCCGGGCTCTGGCTCCAGCCTCTGAGCCCTTTAACTAAGCTCCACAACAGCTAGGCTCTTGGGGTACCTCCTTTCACACTCAAGACTGCAGGTCCCAAAGTTTCCAAGGTGCATAGGAAAAGGAAGAAATGAAGTAATCTACAAGCCTGTTTCTGTTTAGGTTTCTCCCCCATCCCTTTCCCTCAACCCAATGGCTGCTGGAGGATATTCTTGACTCCGTCAGGTCTTTTCCCATCTTCCAGTGAGACCCTGCCTGGGGACCAGGTTCGCTGTAAGTCACTGGTTCCTCTCTGGAACGTGGGCGATGGGTTTGGCAGCGAGGGGAGGGAGCGGAGCAGTGGGGGGACGACAGGCTTTCGTCTCACAGCAAGTTGGGGGGAGATGTCAGGGAAGGCGAGAGAAAAGCGCCAAAGGAAGCCGGTGAAGCTGGCCCTCTGCTTGGTGTTTGTACTCAGGACTTCTCCTCGGTGCGGCTTCAGTGCGCCAGCGCCGGCCTGTTGCCCAGTCACCTCTCACAGCCCTGCTGGGGGAAAGCGCGTGGCGGGGTGCTTTCCCTCCCTTCGTCCTCCGGCTGGCTGCCCTCTTGCCCAGTGGAGAGCTCCGAGTCGCAGTCGAGCGCCTCGTAGATGGTGGGCAGCGTGGTCTGCTGGCTGAGGCGCTTGCGCAGGCCCACGAGCAAGGGCTGAGGCATGGAGGAGACGTCCACGTTGTTGCCGAGGTCAACCCAGGCCAGGCAAGGGAACTTGTTCATGTCCTTCATGGCGTCAGTCAGCTCCTTCATGGTCGCCCGGGTCAGTCGGTTGCCGTTGAGGGAAAGGTGAGTGAGCTTGGGTAGCGCCCAGAGGAAGGGCAGCAGCAGGCGCACCATGTCATCGTTCAGCTCGGTGAAGCTCAGGTCCATGGAGGTGAGGTGGTCTCCGTTGTTCTGCAGGTAGTAGGCCATGCGGTGGACATCCCGCATGGTCAGGGGGATCCCTGACAAATCCATGGTGTCCTGGCTCACTTTCTTCTGCAGACTGGTCTTCAGGCTAATGGAGAAGGGGAGAAAGAGAGTGTTACGAGCACACCCTTGGGGCAGGAGAGAGCTCATGAAGAACACGGGTGGGAAGTGAAGGTTGGATGGAGTTTGTTTAGGGAAAGTAGAAGGTTTGCACCTTGACTCCGGGCAGACTCTGTCCTGCGGCTTTCCTGTATGTTCTCAGCATTTGTACAAAAACTTTGCAAGAACTGGCTAAACCTGTGATGCTAAAGTGTCTTCCACTAGCACATTTCAGAGAGTTTGTCTGTGTGTGCCTGCACAGACACTCATGCACGAACAGCAGAAATAACCAAGGCAAGCAAACTTTCCAAGTGCACTGGTTTGCACTGTGCAGGGGCTGTTTGTCTGCCATCTCTCCAGGTGAGATGTCCTCAAGAGATGTCTGCTGCAGGGCTACTGCAGAGGACAGCAGTGTTATAAGACTGAGAAATGGATGTTTTCTCAGGAAAACAAGCTGTGAATATAGATAAACTGCACTCCAGGAGTGGATTTACTGCATGTCCCCTTAAGAGCTTTCCCCAGTGCCCCTTAGCGAGTGAGCAGCACCTGTAGCTGCCTATTTCGGTCTTCATGGTCAGCAGATCCCCTGGGATCTGCTGCAGCTGTGGGAAGGTGGAGAGGGCATAAGGAGGCCAGGAGGCAGGGGGGGAGGAGGGTGTCCTAGAGATGAGTTCAGCTGTGGCTCTTGCCTGTGTTCAGAGCAGTCTGCTGGCAAGTGGAAGGAGAAGGTAGGTTGTAGGGCAGGCAGAGTTGTGCCGTGCCGTGGGGCTGTTGGATTTGCAAAGGGAGTGGGCTGCAGAGCCATGTGATGGGCTGGGGGGGTCTGTGAGTGCTGTGGGGCTGCAGGAGGTGCTGGGGATGTGTTACAGGTCTGAGTGTTGGTGTGTGAGATAGGCTACATGTGTGTTGGTGTAATGTGTGTGAATCTGACTTCTTAATGTAAGTGATACTAGTCTTACTGTCCTTCCAGGCACACCTAACTGTAAGGATATGGGAGGCCTATTAGGATTCCCACTAGTGTTGTTAGCCATATGCTCATGGGGTCTATAAGTGCCAGGTTGAATGCGGGAGGAGGGAGGGTTAAGAAGTGGGAATCCATGGTGCTAGGCTGAGGCTGTATCTGGAAGCGTGGGTTTGAGCTAATGGGTTGTTGTGGCTGAGAACGTTAACAGCATGGAATAACTTTTCGTATGAACTCTTACATGTTTGGATTTAAAGATTCAAGAGAGCCTTATGTATTGCTTACCAGATGTTTACACTTTGCATGATCCAGACCACTCAGGAGTGAACTGTGGTGGGGGAAAGGGGGGCAGTGCTTGTCTGTAGACACTAATAGCAGAGGTGGATGTGCTAGGGGGGTTAAAAATAGCCTGAAAGCACACAAATCTGTTCCCTGCAGGCCCTTCACTTGGGGTTGGTACCCGATACCCCTCCTGAATCGGGGCTGGGCCCCACTAGCGAGAGGAGCGTGAAGAATTCATCAGCTGCTCTGCTGGCTACAGCAGTGCAGTGCCCAGCGCCGCAGGGGCGGTGGGCGCTGTGAACGGGCGCGCTGCGGTCGGGGTGGGCGCTGGACTAACCTCCCTCCTCCCAGAAACCCAGGGCTGTCTGATCACAGCCCAGGCTGCCTGGAGGCTGCGTTTTTACAATTCACTGGGAAAAACAATGTGCCCTCATTTGCTTAGCATGTCATCAACCCCTGGCCGTGGTGTAGCACAATCTGCCACGCAGGAGGGTTCAGCTTGTATAAAGTCTTATCGGGGCAAACCTCCCCACTGGGAGAGCCTCACGTCGCCCGTGACACACTGCTGTCCCTCTAGCTGTGCTGGGCGTTTCTTCTGGGTGTTGGACGCGCGGTACCTGCTGCTCTAGGAGAACCAAGCACCACGTGTGTGGTGGAGATGCGTATTTGTATGGGGCAGATCAAGCAGGGAGAAATAAATCTCGAGTGTAAACCTAGCTGCACGGGGGCAATCTTTCTCCTGTATCTAGCAGGCTGTGCAGAAAAAGGCTGGTATGAGATGAGACGGAGGTCTTCTCCGGTTTGTATTGGTTTAGATCAAGGCTTTGGGACAAAGGATACAGGATAAGTGAGGAGAGGAGTAAGTACTTCGGTCTGTTTGGTGCAAACAAAACCCAGGGCTGTCAGAACCTCTCTTCCCCAGCGCTGCCAACCCACGGCAGGCGCTGGAGGGGAGGCAGAACAGAGGTGCAAATAGCAGGACCCCGCGGGTGCCCTTCCTCCCTCTGCGTCTGCAAGAGCAGCTTGCTCAAAAGGGGGCAAGTCCTCCCGGCTGCCAGGCTCCCCTCTTGGGCGACGTGGCTCTGCGTGCAGGCAGCAGTAAGCGAGGGGACCTGGCAGAAGGACAGAGGGACGTGCTCGTCCCTCCCGGCCCGTTAAGCCTCCCCTCCCGCTGACGGCTCTGCTCCGTAGGAGGTTTGCCCCGGTGGACGAAGCCCTCGCACCGCAGCCAGGCCCCCAGCTCCCCGCTAAGCGGTGAAGCTCCGGACTTGGCGCTCTGCCGCCCCGCGGGTGCCGCGAGCCCTGGCAGCTCTGCTCCTTGCTCCTGGGCAGCGCCTGGCGCTGGGACGGGGTGCTGAGCGGCTGACTGCTCCTTCCCTTCAGCTGCTTTAGAGAGAGATCGCGCTCTATCTATCTACCTATAGATAGAGATCTGCTGTTAGAGAAGGGACAGAGGGGGATGTGGGCAGATGCTTTGCTCTGAATTATCTGGCATTTGGTATTTCCGGAGCTCGGCAGAGATCTGCTCCCCTGAGGGGGGGAAAACCCCAAGCTCGGACTCTTGTGCATCAGCTGAGAAAATGCCAGGTTTATTCACAGGGAAATGGGTCATCTATTATTCCCAAATTTCTGCAAGTAAAATAGGCTTAAAGGTTGCTACAGCTGAAGAAGCTTTTGTGTGTGTGTGACAAAACAGCTACTGAGCGACACGGCTTTCAATGCCCATGGGACTTGTGGGCAGAGGACTGCAAAGCACCAGGGGCTGCATTAACCTAGTGCTCCTGCAGCTGGTGCTGTGTGTGGATTTATAATGATGGGGAATTGCATCTAACAAGGATTTGGACCCCAGATGCAGGGAAGTGAGTGGTATTTGTATTTGCTGTAGCAAGCTGAGGTGGGAAAGAAGCCCGGCCCTGCTGAGGAGCGAGGGCTCTGCTAGGTACATCTGTCTTGCTCTCATCTGGTAGAAGTTGTTCCTTGCATCATTCCCAGCTCCCTCCAGCTCAAGGCCTGGCCTTTCTCCCACTGACTTGGGGAACCTGCCTCCATTCCTCATGGCCATGTATCCCTTCCTGAGGTGCCTCTTAGTTGGTGGTAGCCTATGGTCTCCAGGCTGCACCCTGAACCTGCTGCATGACATCTGTCCAGGACCAGCGTAGGGGTCTGAGGGACCTGCCAGGGGTCAGGAGAAGGCTGCTTCCCCCTCTCAATTGGAAATGTGGGCCAGCAAGGGGATGAAACCACCCTGCCTGCACTGGGCATGTGGGAAAATGCAAGGTGAGCCTCAGTTCATCCATGTCCCTTGTGCCTCACTTGGTTTTGCTCTTGGATAAAAATCTTCCTGCGTAGGGCTCAGTCACTGTTTCTGCCTCCTGGGAACTCAGCTAATGCAGGAGACTTCAGAGCTGTCTCTAGATGAAAGAATTAAGAGACCTGAAATTAATCACGGCTTTCAAAAACTGCTAGTTGTTTGTCTTGGGGACCTGTCCCAGGGGCCTGGCTCTCTTCTACGTGCTTCTTTGAGTCTGTGAAGCTGAAGGCTCAGCACATTTCTATCAGCATGCACACCATCCCCTCTCCCTTTGATTTCTTGCTCATCAGCTAAACCGTTTGGTGGCTGCAGGGAAGGGCTGTAACAGCTCCTGGCTGCTCACCCTGGCACTTGGCTGCTCTCCTTGGCTTTGTGAGGCTTAGAGGAGCTTGCTCAGCACAAGAGTCTTGGGGCTCCTGGAGACCCAGCCTCTCTGCCTTCTCTCCACACCACGGAGAGAGGCTGGGAAGAGATGTGACACCCATCAGCTGGGATTGCAGTGATAAGGGATGCCCACTATTCCCTATCTGTCTCTAGGGAATTACCAGCTTCGTCCCTCTTACTTTTGTTATTTTGTCTCCAAAATGCAATTTTTTCCCTATATTTCCCTATACCACAGCTTCCCACCACTGTGTCACTTCATTAACAGGCACTGCCAGCAATGGCTAATTAGCCACAAATTGGGTATTTCTTGGCTGCTTCTCCTTGTGTAGAGCCCAGTGACAGGTGCGTCTGGGTGGCTCTTCTGCTTCCAGCAGTGATTTAGGGGATGGGCTGTGGGGTTTAAACTGCCTGCTTAGCATCATCTGCTTCCTTTGCCTCCCTGTGGCACAGGGAGCTGCTTTGCAGGGCTGGTTAAAAAAAAGCCTCAAAAGCAATGATCTAGACTAATCCAGACTGGGCTCTCCTGAGGCTGAGCTCTGCACCTCTGCAAAGTGAAGGGCGGTGCTTGAACAGGCCACTTCCATGAGAAGTCCCTGGCAATCACATCTCCATCCTTGTGCCTGAGCTCTTCTGACTGGCTGCGGGGGATCCCTCACTGCAGGGAGGAGAGGGTGCGAAGGTGGCCTTTCTCCCACCACCCTCCCTCAGTGACGAGGTGGGACATGAGTGTCTATAGTGTCTACAGGTGACAGTGCAGCTGAGCACCTCTCCTCCTTTCAGCTTTGCTGTCACCTCTGCTCTGTCCTCTGACTGAGGCTGGGAACCCATTCGTTTCCTCTCATTACTAGGGCCTTCCCCATGAAAGCAGGAATAACATCACCCCCTCACTGTAAAGGCTGCCCATCAGCCAACATCCTTATCGAGCATCAGCTGTGTGAATCATGAAGCTGCAAGGTCTCTGCTGATTCCTCTGAACCATTATCTGCCATTCAAGTTGAATAATCTCATTCATTGCCCATCTTTCTGCCTAAGGGTCCTGCTTCTCCTGCCCATCAGCCTCGGATTTTTCCTTCTGATCTTTGACAGGGTAGAGTCGAGCGACCTGCTGGCCCTTTCCACCACCCTCAGCTGCCTTTCTAGCTGGACCTTCCTCTTGATGCTCAGAAAAGCCAAATCATGGGTGGGGTTTGGGCCTTTCTCTCCTGTAAGATGAAGAGACAGTTTCTGCCTCTCCCCACAATTTCTTCACCAGCTGATGTCTCTGTGAGCAGCAGCAGCTTTTAAAAACATCATGTGGGGCAGTTCTTGCACTCCCATCTACTCTGCTGCCATGTGGCTTTAGCTGACTGACTGCTGTTCTGATTTGGTTTCCCATTTCTAAAGGAGGAATGATGGTCCCTCTTTACCGTGTTGCATAAGGGTGACATGAAGCTCTAGTTAATATTCTGGTGCCGTGTGAAGGCTAAGATCCAACGTGCCAGAGCTGCTATCCATGGCCCTGAGTGATGTTTTGGGGGCTGGGGGAGATCTGAAGCCCTTCAGAGCTGTTTCCCTGCAGTCTTCCAGACACATGTACTTTCCTTGCATTTTTAAAGTGCATCTAATGCCGCAATGTCTGGGCAGTGCACATCAATAACGGAGGAGTGGAGCAATGAGCCCAGAAGGGACACTCAATTCTCCATCCAGCTTTGGATTAGCCAAGATGTTTCAAAATGAAACTCATTCAGGCAGATGAGCAGAGTAAAACCATGGCCAGGCTTGTGAAAAGGAAAGCCTAGATCTAAGGAGTGTGGGAGTTAGTTAACTCTATGTGCACAAAACTGCCTTTGCTCTCCCAGAACCCGTTACTGCATGAAAAATCTCGTTTGTTCTGCATCAGCTACACCCTGCTGGTAAAGATTACTCTTTTTGCTGCCTGCGTGTTTTATGGATCTAGGCTTGCACCTTTGCACTCTAGGAGAAAGGAGGCCCAGAAGCAGCCAGCTCTGGGGACAATGTAATGGAAGATGCATAAGGTTCTCTAACACAGCTTTGCCAAGACAGCTCAGCTGTAATCCACACTTTTTGATTACATTACTAGGCTGTGATCCAGCTCTCCAAACAAAGGCTGCCTTCACCTGCATACCCTTCTCCCGCTGCACTCTGAAGTGCAATCGAGTGTGGCTCTGCCCTGGAAAAACAAAACACCCTCTTGGTCCAGCCTTGTTCTGGAGGCAGATGGTGGCACGTGCATGAGAACACGCAGTTCTTCAGCACTGCTGAACTGAGGAAGCCTCAGGACCTCTGAAAACAACAATTAATAACACCCCAAAATTCTGCACCCACCAGAATGCCACAGAAGTGGCACTGATAACCGGAAAAGCCAAGGTCTGCAGGGAGAAGCATTTCTTAACCCATTACTCTTTATGCTATAAGCATCAATTTAACAAGAAAGAGAAACTAGAGTTATACAACGCTCTAGGAAGTATGATGCTCATTTAGGGTGAGTGATCTGCAGAGGCTGTAAAAACACACTGCTACAGCAGAAAGCCCATTAGGATAAAAGGGACAGCTAAACTGGACTGTCTAACAGCTGTACAGTAAAGCTGTGTTTGTCCCTGGTGAGGAAACTTTATCCCCCGGCTCTTGCTTTTGGTGTGGCAAACAGGGCCGGTATCCCCTGGGCAGCTGGAGGGGGTCTCTCTGGAGGCTGCACAGCAGGGACACCACTAACCCTTGGTTGCACAAGGCAGCCAGCTGGTGTCCAGACCCTGCCAGCAGGGACGCAGGGAAGGCACTGCTTCCCAGCATCATCTGTGATGGCTTTATCGAGTGGAGAAACCAGACAACCTGGGCTAGATCCCTCCTGCCTGATGCTCCTGCTGCTTTGGGTCTGCTGTGCTGCAATAATCTTTCTCCTTCTATGTTTCTCTGCTTCTGGCCTAGGGCACTCAGCTGGTTATAGCACATGGTCTGATGGCAGCTTGTGGTGTCCCGATCCCTCTCCCAGCCTCGGGGCTGGGTGCTGTATTACAGTCATTTCTGCTGGTAGCTCCCTAGAGGACCTGCTCTGCAGAGAAGGCACTGAATGGCAAACAGAAAACCGCTATGTCCTTTCCCTGTAATGGCACACGGCTCCTTTGCTGCAGCTGTAACCCTGGCTCAGATATATTGGTGTTTAAGGTGGTAGCAGGAGTGGGTGGGGAGCAGGTTTGGCTTAAGGAGGTCCAGAAGAACCTACCTGGGCGTATTGGAAGGCTCTCATGTGCCTTAGATAATGGAGATGCTTTAGTCTAACTGTGAATATTTGGCATATTGGACTCTATGGCATGAATAACACATGACTGTTCCTGTTTCCTGGTTGGTGGAAAGTCTGATCCATCCTTAAGAGAGTTGTGTAATTCCAGCTGTCCTGGCGCTACTGGTTATCTGGACAGGAGTGCTATAAGAAACATCTTTTCCTCTCTACTCTATCAGTTTCTGGGTGGCCCAAGGCTGGACTTGCTGGGCGTTGTAGGGATCCCTTGAGAGGGGATGGGGACGTGACTAAAGTTTGTTTCCAAACCACTGGTTTGCTGTTCAGGGGGTGTGTGTTGGGGAAACACCTCATGCATGAACTGGTTGTAAGATTACAGGTCCTTTCTCTTTCCATCTCCCATTACCACATCTCCATAACAGCCTAAACGTAATTAAAACCTGACAGATGCTCCAAGTTCTCTCCATGGTTGGGCTTGTTAATTATCTTCCGGACCCATCTGACATGCTGCCGGAAAGCAGAAATAGCATTTCCAAAGAGAACAAGGGGGTTCTGCATCAGCTCCATGAAAGCCAGAAAGCAAAGCCCAGGAAATGGCAAAAGCGAGAGGAGAATTCAGCTCCTGACTGTGGTCTCCACACTGATTCCTCCCAGCTGTCCCAAATCCATGCTAGAAGTTAGAAATGCCTTCAAAAGTATTGCCACTACACCAGCGCTCTTCACGGGGCCTGGAAGCAGGGAGGGCACAAGCCAAGGGCGCAGGTTCAGATGGAGATTACCGTACAATGCTCCCACTAGCAAGAAAGAAGTGGAGATTTCGGATCAGGTAAAAACACCCAGGCTGGCCAAAACTAGGCCCCACCATCTCCAAGTGAAGCAGCTCTTTCTTGCTCTCCTGCTACCGGCAACATCCATTTTCTTGCAGTGGCCTCAGGTGCCAGCTCTGCAGGTGCCTTTTGCTGCACGCTGCCAACCACTTCCCCTCCAGTTTCAAAAGAGAAAGCCCTGCTGTTTAATCAAAATTATTGTGTGTCAGTTCTCAGCTCTCCTGGGCTGGGCAGTGGGAGCGAGCCGACCCTTCACGGTCAGGTCCAGCTGGAGAGGAGGCAAACGGGGCGGTGGGGGCCAAGGGTTGTGTCGGGCAGAGGCAGGGAGGGATTTTTACCCTTGGAAAACCAGAACGGGGCTGGGATTCAGCGGAGGGAGCTTGGGAAAGGGAGGGAGCCGGCCGCCCTCTGCAGCTGCCCCCGCCTTCAGCGCGTCTCTTGCCTTCCAGCCTCTTTGGGTCCCCAAAGCCTCGGGAGGGGAAGGGGACGAGGCCAGGCCTGCGCTCGGCCGCCTGCCCTGTAGGATCCCGCAGGGGACCCACCGCGCAGCTGAGC